GCTGTGAACGATGCACCCTCTATGTATTTCCGTGCTCCACTTCCAGTCCCTCTTTCATCCCTCCTTCTCTCCCTCCCTCCCTCCCTCCCTCCCTCCCTATCCACCTGCTCCGCAAATTCCACACCTCCCTCTCTCCCTCCTCCCTATCTCTTTCTAGCTGTTCGCAGGCTCTCCTCAATCGAGCGCCCTCCTCGTCATCCTCTCTCCGCGCCACCGCCATCTCCAAGCTTTCTACCTGTTAGCACCAGGGAGGGAGGGAGAGAGGAAGGGATGTAGGGAAGAAAGGAAGGAAGGACACGTCAAGATGATCTTTTCACCGGGGAGGGAGGAAGGGAAGGAGGGAAGGAAGACACGTCAAGATGATCTTTTCTTGGCCAAAGTGTGAGCAAAGCTACAACTCGGGGGGGGGGGAAACCTTTCTATCAATCCATTTACAGACAAAATTTTCCCTCTACCTTGGCCTTGAGCTGGATGATAGTTTCTTGCTGGAGCAACGCGCGTCGACGCGCTCGAACGGCCTCCTTTTCATCCTCTGCCTGTTCCTCTTTCCTTCTCTCTTTCCCGCCCTCCCTATTATTTTCAGGGCTCCTCCCTTCCGATCCAATGAATCCGATGCGTAAGTGAGCCATAAAAGGGTATGATACAGACGTCGTTTTTGTCACTCACCCTACGCATGAAGCATGCAGCCACTACCTCCAAATCCTTCATCTTGATGCCACTTACCCGGGACACCACACTCCGTCCTTCCATTTCGCACCCGCAGAGGACCTTCCCTCTGTCGTGGCCCTGAATGATGGCAGGAGAAACTTGAATCGGGAGTGCTCGTCGTCTTTGTAAGACCTGGCTCAAAAGCAGCATCAAAATAAGGAGCGGAAGGCACAGGCGGGGAACACCGCTTTCGCCCCTGGCCAGGAATCCGTCGGCCTGGCGTATCCATTCTACACCCTTTCTGCCCCTTGAAGTATGAAAAGAAGAATGAACGTGTGGATAATGCTGGTGTGGGAGGGAGAACTCAACGATAGTAACTCCATGTATGTCCAAGGCTTTCGGTCAGATGGAACGTAAGAAGGACGGGGAGGAAAGACTAGATAATGAATGATCCGAAGGTCGTTATCACATCCAAGTCTCCTCCTGTACAACACACAACTCCAACAGCCTTCACGGTCTTGCCGTGCCCGCATCCACCGTGCGATGGACAGGGATCTATGACGTGGTGCTTGTACGTTTTAATGGTTTGTGTCGGGGCTGCGCAAGATTTAGCGACACGGACGCGACTGAGAATCTGATATCTCTCGTCCTGGAAATAAAACGCGCCCAACACAGCTTTATCGACGTCCGATTGCCCGTTCCTTTTCCGCATTGCAGATGACACATACGGGAGTCGTAAGTGGTGCGGCAGACACGTATGGGGAGTAAGTAGACACATATATTAGGGGTGCACGTCAAACGCCGCGGGGCAGGGGGCGGGGAGGTCATTGGGATGGACGACAACACGGAGGAAGTCATCAATGACAGCACCGTAGAAATAAAGCTTCCAACGGCGCAGTCAGAGAAAATAGGTGCCAATGAACCGGTGGAGCAGCTGCAGCGACCCACCAGGACGGAAAAGGGAAAAAACGACTTCGTGCAGCGATTGCCTGAGGAGGCACTCAGTTGCAGCACGCATTCAACACCCCTCCAGCAAGGCAAAACGACGAAAATAAACGATGAAATATTATCAGCGGACCCAGGCAACGATCCTAATTTAAAGAAACGGGAGCGGTGCGAGGAAATGGAGGACAAGGACGATTTGATTCCCAAAAAGAGGCCCAAAGAGTTCAAGACGTGGTTTCCGTCTTCTGCCCACATTAGCACCGTCCCCCTCCTGATGCCTTTTTCTCCCTCGCCTCCGCCCTCTTCTACATCACCGTCACACTCTCGCCCAGCACCCCCGTCCCTCAATGGTGACATGCCGCTTCTACGCCCACCCTTCCCTCCCTCCTTCCCGCCTTGTTCCCCTCCCACAGATGTGGCATGTCGCACCCCTCTTCGTACGGCCCACCTCAGCAAAGACGGTACCGCGCTTGTGTGGGATGCAGCCACAGTCTTGGAACTGCGTGGAAAGCACCGAGTCCTTTCCCGCGCGCTTGGCATGGGCTCCATTCGGGTGTCGGCGGTGCAGCGGGTGAGGGAAGGAGGGAGGGAGGAAGTGGGGGAAGGGCGGAAGGGAGGGAGGGAGAAAGAAGGGGAAGAAAAACCGGCGATGGAGGGTGAAGTAAAGAAAGGCAGGAAGGGATGATGAGGCAGGAGCATGTTGGAAGGGATGAGGGAAACGCGTAGGGAGGGCGCTCCCCACCCTGTCTGCCTGGGCCTTTAATCTACCTGCTTGACCTCTCCCTCCCCCGTAGGCGGTGCCCGTGGCCGTCATGCCATCTGCCCTGTCCCTCATGGTTGACGAGGGCATCTTGAGTATGGGGGAAGAAGCCCCGCGGGCGGACACGGACTATTTCGACAAGCGGGTCGTGGACGCGGCGGCTGTGCGGGCGATTGAGGAGGAACGGGAGGAGAACAAACGGTGAGAGGGTGGGAGGGAGGGAGGGTTTGGAACGGAT